CCAGAATGTTCAGCCCATCGCTTTAACCGTCGTTGAAGATTAATGACCAGGAAGCCATCCTCTTCGCACTGTTCTACACTAGATCGGATACCTTTGGTGACTTGGATGTGAGGGGAAATTTTACTGGCATTACCGAAGCGAATAGCAAGTTCCAACTCTCCAACACCTTCACAGCACCAAGCTTTATGGTCCTTTTGGAAACCCCTGCGCAATGTTCGATTCAGGGATCGGCGTTCTTCATTACAACTGGCATAGGCCAGGACAGAGCGGTATCTGTCCATCAACGACAAGGAGATAGCTGGGACCCAGCACTTCGATGAGAAACTCCACAACTCGCAATACTGGCAGAAACAGGCATCTCTAAGGTGCATCTATTTTGAATTAAGATCATCATTAGACGTTGAGGCAAGCAGTGTTGACAGTGAGGGTTAGTACATGGTTAGGATCACAATGCTTCGTAGATTTGTAACATTCAGTCGGCAGTAGGTACATCTGGGCGATCCCCCGACATGCATGGAAATCAGCCCGAACCGGTGTGCGATCGGAGTCGAGACAGGTTGATCAATACAATAGGTAGTCTGTTACACTTCCGCGCCATTTGTAACATATCACTGTGGGGTCGAACAAGAACCATTTTTGCGGTTGAGAGAGCAGATACAGACAGTAGTCTGTCTCTTCGAGTGCCGAAAACTGCGCTCAAAAGAAACAAATGATGATCAGAGCAAAGAGTCAGTAGTCTGACTCCATTGTCTGGCCGGCTGCTACCGAGGCCAAAACTACTCCCAAGATGGTGCTCGGTTGGTGGCAAGCGTCCCACTTGTGCGTTAAAACCTCCAGTAAGGATGACAACATCAGACTGTTTGAGAAACGCAGGTTATGCATTTGTTAGAAAAAACAATCCCTGACTACATCCGGGTTACAGTTTATAGGAGCGTAGATGGAGGTGATAAATAAGGCGCGCGTAGCGTCTCAACGCCTGCTAACCTTACGTGAACCACGTAGTCTGACTGCACTTAGCCGACTATTGATTTGCATCCAGTCAGGCAGAGCGGATTTAGCCGCCACTCAATGCAAACCCAAAGCCAGTGAGGCCAGAAGCGGCAACCTCTGGATCCTCGCAAAGGCGCAAGTGGTATTTAACATATGGGTTTGCCGGAGAGATCATTTTGATCACAGTACTAATCTTGCAATCTGGTTTCCGAAAGGCAGCAAATGTCTACCGAGAGCGTCGAAAGGGCGCGGACTTGATATGTTGCCGTCCGATCTGCATCGAGTGCGAACATTGAACGCTGTGAGACCGCAAGGAGAACCAGGTTGAAGAAAAGCTAGGGCTTGGGTGGAGAATAATAAGGCTGTAGCCGCCGGGCACCGAACATATATATATATATATATATATATATATTTGCAAAAGTCTGTTAACAGACATAATGCCATCAGAAACCATGGGATTCAAACGAAGGTACAGAAACATAAAATAAAACACAACACAACAATGTCCATGGTTTCCTCAGAGGGCGAGATACTACCCGGTTGCCCAAGCCGAAGTAGGGTGTTGACTTAGGGGACACCACCCCGAGCCTTTGGCTGAATAGCCTGCCCGCAAGGCAGCGGAGCGAATTCAGGGAATCGCGCCCATTGGGAGCCGGTGACTGATTGCTCAGTTCATACGCCTTTTGTTTGTTCCTTTGTCAAACAGGGGCCCAATGCTCCCCAGAAGTACAGCATAAGGTTGCTGGAATACAATGCTTCGCCAGAATGAAGCAAGGGGCAGTGACTTTATTTAGTGGCGAGTCACATCCGCCACGTCACAGTGTTGTTAAACGGACATATGTGGCTTTTTATAGGGAGAACGCTTGCCAGGCGAAAACCCACCACGTCCTGGAACACTGCCGCCGAACCATTTGCTGGAACGGGAAAATCCCGAACCACCCAGCTGGCACCACGAGGAGGTTGTTCGGCACCGAACAACACGAGTTGGACTGTTACTTCAGCCAGGTGCGACGAGTAAGTGGTGACCAGGGAGGGCATAAGGTTAGTTGAGGAACGCGACGTAGGACAATAAGTGAGAGGAGGTGGAGAAATAGACAGTATAGACAGTAGACATAGCAAGAGTGAAAGCAGTAGTGTACTCCATTCATGACTCGTCAATGGGTGTGATACTACCCGGTTGCCCAGGCCAAAGTAGAAGGTTGTCTTAGGGGTCCCTACTCCGAGCCTTTGATCAGGGATCTAACCTACAAGACAGCAGGGCGATATGGGGATGTCGCAACCCATGGGTGCCGGTGACCAAGCAAGTGGTTCATACGCCTTTAGGATCACAAAGGATCAGAGACCCAACGCACCTTCGAATTATGATGTCACACTGCAAGAGGCAAGGAGCAGTGGCTGCATTTAGTGACGAGTCACATCTGCCACATTACAGTGTTAACAGACATATAAGGAAAACGCGAGCCAGGCGAAAACCAACCATGCCATGGAGCACCACTGTCAAACCATTGAATGGAAAGGGATAATGTCGAACCACCTAGCTGGCACCACGACGAGGTTGTTCGGTCGATGACCCCACATCATTCAAAGCTACCCATCATCATTATCCTCATCATCATCGTTATCATCACGTTAGCTGGAGTTGGAAAACACAGCTATTGTGCCGCAACACAAAAGACAAGAAAAGGATAACAAACAGTGGCACGCCCGCTGAGTCCCCAGTAACGGATGGACATCGTTCCGGAGAGCTAACAGCTGGCTGCCGTAAAAGAGAGTCATATTATGCCTTACAAGTGAGATCGTGATTGGAGGCGGATGGACAAAGGAACTCACAACACAAACGCCATTGTGGTCAGCTCCAAGCCATATCAGCGAGTGTGTCCAACCAAACGTGTTCACCGTCCTTAGGACCCCAGCCAGGCAATCGAGATGCACCAAGCGACGCCAACTTCGAAGTGAGGGTTTTCATTTCTCTCGACCAAGTCATCACCTGACCTCCCCTCCTCCTCTTCCAATCGCACCCACAAAGCGCAAACAATGCACGTCGCGGGAGTCGGTGTGCTGGCATGCGCAACAGGTGGCCCTGCCATCGGAGCCTGGTGCGCGATATAATGGTGCTGAGCGCTTCACTCGCTCTTCCTGTATCAAGTACGCGACGTCGAACACGCGCATTGCTCACGCGGTGCTCCTACCAGACATGAGCTAAGCTGCGAAGGCAGCGATGATCGAATATGACGAGCCTCTTTATGTCTGTCGACCTGATGGGCCAAGTTTCACAGCCATATAGGAGAGTTGAACGGACGGCTGCGTTGTAAATTCTGTCCTTCAGGACGACAGTAATGTCGCGTCTGCGCCACAGGTGGCGGAGATTGGCAAAAGCACCTCGAGCGAACGCTGTTTCTATGACTTCATCAATAGCGAAGTTGAAGAGGAAAGATGACAGTGGGCATCCTTTTCTCACACCACTGGTGATACTGAAGGGTGGCAACAGTTTGCCATAAACCCTCACCCTGCCCGAAGTATGCGCGTACAGCGCTTTGATAATGTTTACATATTTATCAGGCACACCTTTCCTCAGCAGACAGTCCCAAAGGGCACATCGATCGACTGAGTCGAAGGCACCTTTTAGGTCAAGAAACACGACAACGGTGGATCGCCAATAAATATGGCGGTGCTCCAACACTTGACTCAAGGTGAAGATGTGGTCGATGCAGCCCCGACGTCGACGAAGTCCGGCTTGCTCTTCACGAATCTGGCTTTCACGAGTGCCAGTCAGTCTGTGGAGAATGACAAAGGCAAGCAATGTAGAGGCAATCGAAATCAGACTAATCCCTCTATGATTGCCGCATTCCAAACGGGAGTTTCCCTTGAAAATTTGGACAATGACGGAGCGGTTCCAGTCTGTTGGGACAGTCTCCTGCTCCCAAAGTTACTAGCAACTCTTGTAAATCATTTATTAGAGCAGGTCCCCCGAATTTGAAGAGGGCTAGGGGAATTCTATCTGCTCCTGCGGCTTTATGCAATTTCAACATTCAAAGCTACCCACCGGATGCAACAAGCAACGGGTAATAAACCTAGGTCTAGTGGCACACAAAGTGTGTACTACGAACCGCCTCTGAAGCTAGGAGAGCATAATGGCATTCCGAAGCGCCCCAAGGACAAGAAGGTACAAATCCGCCAACGCCCATTTGCGGTTGACCATGGTCGCAGGTGCGGACACACTGCGTTCGAAAAACAGGTAAGCAGTATTTAATTTCCAGAAGCTGCAGATGATAGACCTCAAGTAGGTAATGCTCTCAGACTGAGCAAGTTTGCCACTGCCATGTGGATCAGATCATTAAATCGAAAGATTCGGGTGGCGTCCTTCAACTAAACCACTATTTGTCCGACTGCTTTGTGAGTCACATCGCTGCATCAAAGACTAAATAATCAACAAGTACTGGACCACCTGCCGGTAGGTTAACAAGCGATCCGATGAAGAGAGAGGTCTGATAGCAAATGTAGGAAATGTCAAAACGACAAATGAGAAAAACAGAGGTCAGGAAACAAGAAATGAAGCCTAGAAAACGTGCTTAGAAATTAGCATGTCATGCGGCACGATACGATTAGAGCTGTGGTTAGTAAGACCGCAAAGTGCAAGAAAGCGGAATTGAGTACCGAAAATAACAGTCTATATAAGCATAAGTGAAACAAGCAACCAAACACACATTGACCAGAGAGTGATCACTAAAGACAGACCGCACAAGTGGAGGAAGCATTGGAGATTGGTGGGAGTCACCGAAAGAAACCACCTTGTACAGACTGACAGCAATTAAGTCTGAAATCGGGCAGCAACTGCAACTTAGAAGTAACAACGTTTCGACCGGAAGAGTCATAAATTGGCTAGAAAAGGTAAACAACTAGTGTCAGACAACCGAAGAAGTACTGTCTTTACCCGGTCAATTGATTAACAGTTGCAAAGTGGACATGCAAACGCTTAAATTAAGCATTTATCGGACAACAACACCGGGAGGCTATGAACGAATGCGCAGCGAGAAACTTACTTGTGTATCTGATGGACGCTTGAGGAAAAGCTTAACAATGGCAGTCAGCAGCTGCAGTTGGACCTGAGCGTTTTCGTCCTGGAATCCGTCGAGGAACGACTCCAAAAGTTCGTCGGCGTTGTCAATGCGCTCAGCATATTCACCAATTATCCAAACCATTGACCCACGCGCTTCGGGCTCATCAAGTGTATCCAGATTTTCGCAAAGCACGGAAATAATGCTTTCGTACTTGTTAGGATATTTACGGAAAATGTCCTTGGAAAGAAAAGAGTAGATGGAACAATGGCATTTCAAGTTGGGTGAAAAAGCATCAATGAATAACACTCACAAAAAAAGACCACAAAACGGAGTGCAGTTCGGAAGACACTGAGTGCTGCGATTGTACCAAAACGGATCCGTCAATGGTATACGGTCTATTCGGCAAAGACGCTAGAGAAGAAAGTTGTGATGATTCACACAGGATCAAGCTGAATCATGGGATGGAGCATAAAAACAACGATGATGCGACGTACATAGGAATAAACGCCTTCTTCAGTCCGAATCAAACAAATGTTACAGAATTTAGTGCAACGTGACCACATGATGACTACTAGCGTGCCTTCACAGTGTACTGGGTTCGCGCCCAGTTGGATACCAAAGTCGTCCCTTGAGTCGAGCCCGTTCAGTATGATTGAGTGTTCCCACCCGTAACATTTATCGATCGACGTGCAACCATATAGCATATGGAATGAAAGCAGAGGAGAAACGGCTCATGGAACACATCAACAATGTGGTGAACCAGGACACACTAGGATACCACAACAGCGGGGTAAAACTCTCTTACTGTTAAGCGAAAAAATCCGTCAACCCCCCTCCCTAGGCTCTTAATCGCCTTCAAATGTATGTATATGGATGAAAAACCGCGCAAAAAACAGAAAAGGAAAACAGTATTAGGCCAGACAAAGTCGAACTCCTTATCACTTGTCGCAGTTGCAGGCGCGTTGCTTTTAACCGTCTTACGAACACTGATATTCATTGGTCAATGATGCTTTGGCGCGCAAGATAAAAATCATGACCGACTAGCTAGCTGATTAAGGAAGAATGGTGTAATACGGGTAAAAAAGGTAGAGATTGACAGTTCCCATAGGATGATGAATATTGTAAAATATGGAAAAGGTGTCAGCAAAACTAAGTTCACACCAGTGGGATCACAGAGGTATACGCATTAAAAAAGTGCAAATCCACAGGAAGTCCATAAAAAAAGACGACAAATGGGATGTTGGTAAAATTATGCCGCCTCCAGGTGAACATATGGTTGGGGGCACCCAGTTCCGGATTTGCCTGTCACTGCGGCCTCCACGGAGCCAGCCAAAGGAGGCCTACGCCGACAAAGTGACCATGAATGGTATGCGCTGCACCACCCACAGCTCCATCCACATACCTCATATCCAGTGTAAACCCGAAGGAATAAGACCGGGAGACATGCGAATGGGAGCCACGTTTCATCAACGGAGCCGACCCATACTCCTTCACAGGCAAACACAAGCACACTGTATTTGGGAATCAAGCGCACACAAGGCGGTGGCTGGACCGTAGTCCGCTGCACACTGAGTGCATGGAACCACTCTTCGAGCCTAGCACGGCCACAAGGACCGTGCACCCCGTCCCCTCCAGCAACGATTCACAGTCTCCTGGAGCCAGTAATCGAGGTGGAGGGTGCTAGAGATAGGCACCTTGTCAACATTACCATCAAGCGCAGCTACACCGGGGATATCAAATAAACAAAATAGAATTTGAGGGAAAATAAGCACGCAAGGTTGGCATGGGATATACAGCAGAATAACAGAACTGAGCAAATCAAATACAGTGGAATGCTTTCTATCAGGATTGGGAATACCTAGTTTAAGTGTAATTCGGTGTAGCCCAACTGCGGTGAAGAAGAATCATGTATGCAACATCAACCTCAGCATGAGGCACAAAGTGAAAACCTGCAGATGAAATGAGTCATGTAAGATGGTGCGGCGAAACGAATGCAGTCGCATTGAACTCTACCAGAATGGGAGAGCAGATGACAGGTTTCGAGAGGGCACTCCACGCTTGGCAAACACGTACGGAAAGAAAATTCCGACGGCATTGCAAACGACTATACTGCCCTGCCAACTGGATATGGCAGCCTCCTAGATTGCAGTTGTGACAGTCACAGTAAATGACGGCACTTGTGGCTGAGGTTCCACGCTAACCGCTTCAGTCAGCAAATATGCTGAAAAACGTCCAGCCAAGGAAACTCGATTGTTTCGACGACAGCGCGAAATTGGTGCACTGATGTCAGGGGGATAATGTAGTGGGTGAGAGTACGAACAACGCATGAAAAAGGAATGGGTTTCGCGGAATACACCTGTAACCAACCATGGAGACCAGCCGTTTCATAAAGGAGTAGTGGGGAGGGAAAGTCTACGCTGATTGAAGTCAGCATAGAAATCTTTATGACTTCCTGAAAGCAGTGTACGGTCCTACCTTAACGCCAACGAGGAATCTGGTGGACAGCGCATCGACCATTGCAAACAAGCGGTATGCAGACAAGATGCGCAAGTGGAGCAGACACATGGACTACTCTTTAGAAAGCGTCCACGTGTTTACTCCGACAAGTCAGATAGGTTGGAGCAACTACAAGTGAAGAGCAGACTTAGAACTAAGTGAAACGTAGAGAGCATGCATCCGATTTCGAAGTCTGCTGTAGTCGCCAAGACACCACTGGAAAGGTGACGAATTCTCCATGACCAATGACCTTCACTAATTGATGGGACGTATGTGGATAGCAGAACAAGAAGATTCAGAAACGAAGTATGTTGTCACAGCACAAAGGTAACTTAAGTAAGCAATCAGCCAACGACAATAGTGGTATTCACCTGGCAATATTAGTCGGAAGGAACATTGCCGGAGCTATGCACAATCACCGCGATATTCATATAGTGGAGCTCGATGTGGTTTAAGAACAAGGCAGCTACACCCCAGGTTGAGGCACAATCGAAATAATCCACGCAGCTCGCCAACTGCAGAAATATCAACAGTGAAATCGACTGATGTATACACCATTCGTGACTGGTTTTCAGTGTACTCGGATGCTCTGGTAACAATATCCGCTTGACTTAATATCTGTATAGTGGCATGCGGGCTAAAATGCAGGCGCACATTGGGACCGTATAGAAGATCCTATTTTTCGTATATATTCCACGGATGCAGTGCAATGAGCATTCAATACAGGTGAAGACGGTGTCCGTATGAGTGGTGATATGCCATACGTCTGTCAATTGAAAGAGAGAAGTCGTGTGCAAAAAACATTCGGTGGCACAGCTGTTTGAACACAGGATGAGAATCGGCAATGTGTGACGATGGACCCAACTCAACGACTGGCAATTTGGCAATAACTCCACACAAGTTAGATGGTAAGCTTTTATGGCCATCACTAGGGGTGTGTCCATAAAGATGCAGAATGAAGGGAAATTCACATGGACAAATAGGCTTTCTAATACTCAAGGTCACTCTTTGGACGCGGTGGATTAATAATGTTGCCACGACGATGACAACGATGGGTATAACCACTACCAATATAATAACCACAAGCCCCTGTGAGTAAGGCGGAGTAGGTGGCGGGAATACTCGGAAGGGTACAGTCTTTCAGATAGTGCCCATGTGTGCCCCATGATGGTCGTAGGGCGTTCGCAAAGAATAGGTGCTCTGGCCCCGAAAATTACGCCAATGAGTTAGGTACACTTCACTCCTCATCTTCGGTCCTTATCACTAGAATCGTTCATCCTAATTTATAACTGTCTGAAGGCGAAGCAGGTATTCAGGTACTACCAGTATAGATGGAAATGGACAAACGAGAACGGAGATGTGTGAGCTCGAACAGGTCAAGTCAAGCGGTAGAACATCAGACCAAAACGAGGCAAAGCAATAAGCAATTAGTAGTGAAGATTAAAATTGCTCACTTACTTTGATGACGATGATTGCCTCTTGCACTACGTAATTAACTTTAGTTTGAATCAGCTCTATCAAAGTACTAACGCACCGCTCGGCTGCCGATTCGATTTTGATTGCACATCGTCCGATAGCACGAACTGCTTTCCTTACAAAGTCGACGTCGACTTCTTTGGCATACTCCTTTAATTCAGCCAATACCTGTCCAATATTGTACGGATTTATGAGTCGAATCATGATGTCCAGTTTCTCAAGCTTGACATAAATTGGGTCATTGTACTTCACGAAAAAAACCTGAGAACGAAAAGTACTCCTGGGTCAGTAGGTAAATAATTTATTTATTATGACGAACCTAATGAACCATGGAAAACGAAGTAGAGAAAAATGAAGAGTGTCAACAGAACAACATATTTATATGCTTATGGAAGCAATGAGTTCAGCCAGAAAAAAAGAGAAAGGGAGAGAAACGACTACAGGAAAAGTGGAACACAGGTACGCGATCAACTCGAAGCTCGGTAGAACGGAGTGTGCACAGAGAAGGGTCTGAGCTAACCGGAAACGATTGAATCAATGAAATAATCGTACCTCGATGTGAAAATGTGAGTATATTATAAATATTACCGTATAGGCCTGTAAGCGATCAAAAGCTTACGAAGAACAGCATCACTTTCGTAGCATCACCGGGTAGCACTGAGGATACCACCTTGCTGTTTAGCGACCAATCCGATTGCCAAACTCAGCCAGTGAACACACGAAAAATTATTCAGAGCTACCAGTCTCGAGTCAATCACGTTTAAAAAACTACTGTAAGTGAAAAGTAACGGCTGGGTAACTTCTCTAGTACTGTCCGGCCGGGTGATCGAATGGTTCAATTAACTAGGTTATCCACTAATAAACTGGTGGCAGCACAAAGATAGTGTTTTTACCCCATGAAAAAGTATAGGCAAATGAGTTTCCAACCCACACCTAGCCAATCGCTTTAAGCTTATATCCAACATGAAGACAGAATTACGTGGTGCGGTGTTCAGAAGTCGAGTAATACTGTAAAGGGGATTTTAGCGAAAATCGATAGATCGATGGGCTCAGATAGTTCCGAATATTTGCGAGTACCAGCTTATCGAGATGTTTCGGGACAGAGACTCTGTACACAGATGAAGGAGACAAGTAGACAGATGCAAGACGGTTGCCTGAAATGATCAGATGTTATCAGTCAAAGGAAAGCCTTAACTCGCAGTCAAGTGCCTGAAGAGATTTTGATAAAACAGATAACAACTAAGGGAATGGGCTAGACATGTATCCGGATCACAAGATGTAACACGCACAGTAATGGTAATGCATAAACTAAGAACGGAGAAATTTGTCTGACAAGACAAGGTCCAAAGCAGCCAATCAGATGTGGTGTTGAATCTACAAGCAAGCGTTTCGTGAAAAAGTCGACAAAAAATCCTACAGGTGCTTCATCGTGGACACGCTGGCATTAACAAATTGAAAATGAGTGCGCGAAGTTACGTTTACTGGAAAATAATAACACCGGGCTGGAACCGCTGGCGAAATCATGCCCGAAATGTGCGCTTGTTGGCAAGACATCCGAAAAATAAGAATGTCTTCCTGACTACTAACAATGAGACCGTGGGAAGGAGTACACGCGTATTTCTCTGGCCATGTGCGTGGACAACAGTGATTTATTGGTGTTGATCCCTACGGTAAGTGGCCTTAAGTGTACTGCAGGGGGCGTACAATAAGTGGTGCAACAATCAACACAATGAGAAGACTTCGCCCAGCATGCAATAACGGTTCGGTTTAGTTGAACACCGAGGTGCGGTGGATCCAGTTGCAAAGACTCATATTGCAGGAATAACAACAAAAGTAACGGTAAGATAATGAAGTGGAATACAAACAGAATCTAACCAAAATGGAATCCAGAAGGAGGTGACTTAGAGTAATCAAAGTGGGACGAGAATTAACAAGTAGATGCAAAAACGAATGCAGGTGCGCCAATGACTGCGCCATGTCAGAAAGTCTCCAACCATTGGTGTACACCATCCCGATGACCACATTTACGAAGACGGCAAGCACCAGCCTGACCAAGTCCCTCAATCAATTTCTTCAAGCCTCTAGGCCACGTCATGGACTGGTCATCTAGCGGTTTGGCCCACGGCACATAATGCGCGCCGTGGCAGCCGATCAACGGGTATACGGAAGACGTAGTCTAGTCAACGTAAGCAATTAAAATCCAGCAAAACTCTCGAGTAAGGCACCAGAAGGCTTCTTGCCAAAAACCAATTGACGGACCTCAGGATTGCTGAGTCGGTGTTCCCACCAGACATAGGTAATACTTCACAAGTACCGGTGATCAAACAGGGCCAAGCGTGTAAAGTCTTCAATGCGCGCTGGCAAGGTATCTAATCCATATAGCAACACTGGCCTTTTCACAGAGTTATACACCCTACCTTATACTTTCAAACTGATATCCCGCTGTCTCTAGATGGTTGAGTCTCTGGGAAGTCACACGGGGCTTGTTGATAGGAGAAGTAACATCCTCAGTGACGTGACCACCAGAAGTGACACAGCTACCAAGGTAAATGAACCGATCCACCAATTCCAGTGGCTGTTCGGTGATAGTCAGAACCGGAGGTGCGTTGGTCCAGTCCTGCAACAGCACTTTGCACTCGGAAGGTGCAAAGTACATGCCGAAGCGTGCAGCACTACGCACCAGTCTATTCAGTAGCGTTTGCATACTCATTGCGTCAGAACCAAGGAGAACTATGTGGCCTGCATAAGGTTTGGCAGTCGGTCACCTGGCAGAACTTCCACTCCGGTAGAGTCTAAAAGAACAGTCACTCATGACAATTTTGATAACAAGGTTAAAGAGGAAAGCAGGTATAGGACAATCCTGGCGGACTTCACTTGTCGTGGGGAACTCAGAAGACAATGTTCCATAGACCCTTACATGGCCTCGAAAAGCACGGTAGAGGGACTTCAGAATAGAAAGAAGTTTAGCTGACACGTCCTTCATAGGTAGTGCCACAAGCTGGCACGGCCAACAGAGTGGAAGGCGGCTTTCAAGTCAAGGAAAACCACCATAGTTGGTCATCTGTATGTGGGTCCCTGTTCTAAAACTTGGTGAAGAGTAAATAAGTGGTCGAGGCAAACAAGACCAGGGCGGAAGCCGGACTGGCTTTCAGTGATTCCATTCTCACGGAGAATACTGTCTTCGGAGAATGATACCCGTGAGAAGTTTGAATGCAACGGAAACAAGGCTGATGACTCGATGGTTTTCGGATGAAGTACGCCAACCCTTCTTAAAGATGGCCATGACAGTTAACAGTCGGAAGACACAGCGCTCCAAATCGCGTTAGATTCAGGAGCAAGTCAAGTCAAGAAACAGTCACTATCTTTCAGCAACAATGGAGGAAGGTCAGGGAGTCCAGGAGCTATATTTAGTTTCAACACGGAAAGCACATGTCGAATCACTTCTGAAGTGTGAGGCGTGAAATCAACTTTCAATAACGGAATAACGGAGACCCTATTCACCGACAATGGCTTTCAATTCGCCT